ATAGAAATAAATATAAAATAACTTATATTTATGATTTCATAAATTAATGTTAAGCATAATGAATATATTTTTCTATTTATAGCTATTGTGGCAACCAAGTACCACCTATATTGACTAGTACTGGAAATGAATTGCATATAAAATTTAAATCCAGTGATTCGTATTCCAGTAATGGATTTTCTGCATCTTATGCAACTTCAAATGCTACTACAGGTAAGTTTTTGCAAATAATACATTAAAATGTTCTCTAAGAAAAAGAAAAAGTGCTGGGCTATATTAATGTTAAGCATAAATTAATGATTAGAAATGTTTGTTTATAAAACAGACAGAGTTTTCCTCTAATAAAAATATAATTTCGTAATTTTTAAATGATATCAATTAGTATTGTTTTTCAAATGGTCATTAGGCAGTTTCAAATATGATATAAAATGATATCATTTGTATTTAATTGATGAAATAATTTGAAAACACTAATTATTTATTTGTTAATAATATATTAAACCAATAGTGTGAAAAGACAGCTTAAAGATGCCTATTTATCTGGAGATAATGACAACAATAATTGAATTCTAATTATAATAAACAAAGTTTTTATAATGTGTTATATTTTAGCTTATGTTATGGGACTTGCTAATTTTACTGACATCTGTGCGTCTATTCTATATTTACTTTTTTAGAAATTAGATTGTTTTAAGTAAGAGTTTTTATATTTCAAATTTGATATATACATATGCATATAAATCAGATAGTTCCTGATTTATAACGGTGTTATATTTCTGGAAAGAGTATTGCATATGGTGTTGCATTTCTGGAAAAAGTACAGTTATAACATATTCCAGACTTCTGTACATAAAATCATGTTAATCTTATTTCATTATTTCTCACAATAAAGTGTAATAAAAATGACACAAGGCTTTCTTTACATCAGTTTAATTCTCTTTTTTCATTTGCCAAGATGCGTTTTGAAAAATGACATTGTCATTTATATTACACTTCATTGTGAGAAATAATCAAATATTTCAATGAATTAATGGATGTACAGTACCAACCCAAAAATATTTTCATGTATGAGTATTTTGATAATTAAAGCTATATATAAGTACTTTTAATAGACTTTATATAAATACTGTAAGGTCTCTTTTTATGCGGATTATTTTTATGCGATTTTGAAGTTGTGCAGTTTGTATTTCATCTAAAAATTTCTTGGACAAACATACATATAGGCTTGTTTACGAAGCCCACATATAGACAGTCTCCAAAAATCGTGGAACGCTCAAAGCTCACTCCATTTGTTCACTGACATATAACATTTATGGATGTAAAGGACAGCTAGATCTGCCTTAATCGCTTTAGTTCCTAGCAATTTTTGATATAAATGTAATTAAACATAAAAAATACTTAAAACTGAAAAAAACGAAAGAAATGCGTTAATTTTGAAGAAAAAGCTTCAAAGTTTAACTTCCTTTGTCTCGCCCTTCTGTGAAATTTAACACCGATGAGTCATTGTTTACACATCTGGATGACCTTGAACACAGCTGGAGTTGGATTTCCCGGGGCATTCTCATAGACGTCGCGGGAGGACAAGGGTTTAAAGTAGGGTGAACACTAGCTGGCCGTATATTTTTAAATATTTTTTAAAAATTTGGAGACTTAAAAAACATTCCAAAAATTCAAAAAAAAAAATTCAAAACTATATTACTGTTCAATAAAATAAACTGAATTAAGTTTGAATACAAGTTTATTTTAAGCTTTTATATGAATTTCTTTCAGACATTCGAAGTAATTTATTAAGCAGCCTATTTCTTTTAATTTCTGCAAACTTTTTTATGCGGTTTTAAGTTAATTTTAACTCGTTGTTTTGGTTTTATGCGATTTTAGAAAATTACGGAACGTATCCCTACTTTTTCAAGGCAAGTAAAGTCTTTTTTTATGCGAATTTTTTATATGCGCTTTTCTGTAGAACGTATCCACCGCATAAAACGAGACCTTACAGTACATGCTTTAATAAATAATATGTACTGTGATTGTTTAAAAAGTAACAAAAATTAAATTAGAACTCATCGTAGACTGCAATTTCTTACTAACTAAACACACTCAAGAAAACCTTTAAATATGCAGCCGTATTTATTAAATTCTAACGTTTTCGGTCATATTTAATGACCTTTATCAAGAAAAAACATTAAAAAAAAAAATCGAACTCCGAACTTTAAACTTGAATTAACTATACAAGCGTTTTGGAACTTTTTTTTTTTTAAAAAGGAAATTCTACTGGAATAACGCCATCTCTATATAACGGTTGTCATTATATAACCACGTTAGTTATTAGAACGTTACAAATATGACGTTCACGATATAAAATAACAATAAAATAAAAATAAAAATACAGACATAAAATACCAAACATACACAATGTGTTTAGCAAATACATTAACTTAAGATTTCTGCTCTTAAGTAAGTTGCCGCTGTTCATCGTTCTTGACGTTTATAGTATACTTGCTCGCCAGGCTGCCGATACTTTGCTTGCATCTCGGAAGTTGATAGCTAATCCTTTTTGGCTTGTTTTGCAGATATGCCAGGCTTCAGCGTACCGGAGGTGCTTTTTGTCGCGAACTATTTGTATCAATCTGCTCGGTCCCATTCAGCTTTTACCTCTTGGGGGTCAGCTAAGACGTAAGTCGCCAGCGCTGTGCACGGTTGTTCGCTTCTTATGTTTCTCTGGTGTTCTGACAGCCTTTCTTTGAGGGATCTTCCGGTAGCTCCGATGTAAAACATCATATTCTGCCTCCGCATGTCTGTAACAGGGATTCTGTAGACCCCTGGAAGAGCGTTCTTGGCTACGCCATCTTTGTCTGCCCTTAGCAATTGATAAATAGTAGGACTCCTTTTATATATTATTCTTTTATTCGTAGCTGCTCCTATTTGCCTATAAACGCTGCTCAGTGAGGCCTTATATTCCATCAGTGTGAACTCTTCTGTATTTTGTACATTTCGCACCTTACTACATGTCTTACTTTGGTTAGTAATAGCTTTAATATTAACCCCATATCTCTTAGCTATTTTATTGATATAACACAGCTCTTTGTTTCTGTCTTGGGTACTGCTGCAGTGTGAGTAAGCTCGTGCAATGAGCGCCTGGAATGCAGCTAGTTTGTAACTTGGCGGGTCGTGCGAATTCCATGGGATAAATATCGGGTTGTACGTAGGCTTTCTATATACTTTAGTGCAAAAATCGCCTTTGCTGTCAAGTTGTATAGATAAATCCAGAAAGTGTATGCTCGTATCACTTTCTTGCTCGAGTTCAATCTCGAGGCCGAGCTTGTTGTCATTAATGTCCTTTAAGAATTGTTGTAAGTTGGGTTTGACTTTCCATAAGATAATCACATCATCAACATACCTTGCGTACATTAGAATTTGTGTTTCATAATTCGGCATGAATGCATTCTCTAGCGTTCTTAACACCATCTCACATAAAGTCCCCGCCACTGAGCTTCCCATGGCGACGCCTTTCTGCTGCGTGTATGTGATGCCTTTAAAGTTAAAAATAGATGAAAAAGTTGCTAGATGCGTCAACTCTAAGATCTGCTTTCTCTTCTTTTCTGGATGCTTGATCTTGCTTAAAAGGAAATCCCGTAAATGGCAAAAACATGGTTCTAGTTGGATGGAAGGGTACAATGCCTTGAAGTCCAATATGGTCATATATTTGACTTCTTGCGACTTCATATTTGCCATTTTATGTAGAAGTTCTAAAGGTTGTTTTACGCTGTATTGATGCGGTGGCGAGTATTTGCGAATGAACTCATTGACAAACCTTCCCAATAATATTGTGGGTGCGCATCCTTTATCAACGACAGGCCTTAAGCTTTTATCGTTTTTATGGATTTTGGCAAATCCAAATAGCCTAGGTGCGGACAGAGAGCGGACTATTATCTTTGTCAAACCCAGTTCTTTAGCCAGCGGTGTGTTTGCAAACCTTTTAACTCTTGCCTGCAGCTTTTCAAGAGCGCGTGAGTTATATCAATGCTAATTATTTTTTTTTATTTTGTGAATTTTATTTATATATTCTGAACTTTGGCAATTTTTGTGAATTGTCATAATTCAGACAGTCATAAATCAGGGGCTTTCTACATCATAAAATTTGTTACGTTTGTTTATCTTTTTGTTTTTATCCATTATTAATAAAGTTATTGATAAAAGAATATTTATTTTATGATTTAGCTTGTGGAGGAAACTTTTATACTGAAAGTGGATTTGTGAAAAGTCCAGGTTATCCTCAAAGATATCCTAAAAACAAAGATTGTACTTGGAAATTGCATACAGCAAATGGTCATCAAATATCAGTAAATTTTACTGCATTTAATTTAGAACAGACTTCCCAATGTACATATGATTATGTTGAATTAAGGTATGTTTTTGTACATTTTCCTGTACTAAAGTATATATTTTTCTGTTAATTCACTTTAATAATTTATCTAATTTTTGAATGTAATTTTTTATTTTTAACTTTTTATAAATGAATTTAAATATAGTTTAAATATATAATTTATAAAAATAGTAATTAAATATAAAAATTATGATTTTTTAAAGCAAAATTTATGTAATACTCGGCAGAATGAATTTTCTTTGATCAGTATAAGGATAAATAATTGTAATGATCACACACGTGAGGCTCTGGAAATGTTCCAGAACCACACTGAAATCTAAAAACCACTAAAGATGTTTATATTGTAAAATGAAATTTTTATGTCCATAAAAGGAAATATTAATAATAATAGTAAAAAGAAAAATTCTTTTCTCAGAAAGTACACAAAGAAAAAGTAGGCAATGTAAGTCCTAAGATCAACTATCTCTGGTTTGGATTGGATTAAATGTTGATTTTGACTCAATGCAATTTGGGTATGATCTTGTTACACGTAGTAATGAGTGATGACCAACTAGAAAATGGGGATGAAGAAAGATAACCAATCAAAGTGGTTGATGAGGGATCAAAGATGATAAAAACTTTGATATCAAGGTCAAGGAGAGCTTCTCTCTCCAAATTTCTCATATTGCAAGATTTTTGTGGCATTCTCCACCTCATCCTGGATTCTATAACACTAACATCACCTTCTCCAGGGACTGAACAACATTGCCCTGGAGCAAAAGAGAAAACTGAAGGATTCTTCTCTCAGGATTCTCTGTTTAAAAAGAAGAACCAGAAGAATTAGTTTTCACCTGCTGAGACACCAAGAATATGATTGCTGTAACCTTTTTTTTGTGTGTGTATTTAAAATAAATCAAGATCATTTTCTTTGTAACTGTGGAGTCTGATTCGGTGTCTGTCACACTCACATTCCAAATCAGTACCTCTCTTCCATTCTGACTTTACGCACAATTTGGCAATCTGTCACATGTTTAGCAAAATTTCATATACCTGGAAAAAAAATAATATACAGTATTATACAATATCTCTTTATAATAAGGTGAGCAATTGCCAGCCCTGGTGCAGGAATTCAATGGAGAGGACAGATGCAATTCACAGACCTGGACTTTGCTTTTGACAGTGCATCAATATCAGAAATGTGTCCAAAGATGCGGAAGATGATTACAAGCCTTGAGCATGAGACTGGAAGGGTGGGATTGCAGATAAGCAGTGATAAAACAAACATAATGTCCATAAATATACAAAAGTAAAAATCAGTCAGGAGTAAAAAAAGGATGACATGTTATCAATAATACAAAAGTGGACAGCACGCCGACTATTTAATAGAATAAACTTTTTATCATACAGGCGTTAATTACCAATGACTGTTGTCAGACCGACAAGCGCTTTTGATGCTAATTATTTTCGTCTTCTTCAGGCCGTTAAAACGGTTAAATTCCTTTTTTTTTTTTTTTTTTTTTTAAGCGTATTAACGTTCCAAGCATATTAACGTTTTGGAATGGAAGCAACAGTAGAACAAAAAATATAATTTTCAAATAAAAACACGCGCGGTTGTAATGCACATGTGCTGTGCGCCTCCAAAATGCGGAGCTAGATATGTTGGTTTAGAGAATTATACAAACTGATCCACAAAGGGGGCAAATCTAGTGTGGGGGTGTTGCAGGGATTTAGTTTGTTGGTAAGGAGGGCCTCCCAAATATATATAGTATTTCTGTTATTGCACTGTTTTATTATGGCCACTTCGTCCCACAATGGGGTATGTTGGTGTTGTAATACCATTTTAGCGAGCTCAGTTTTATTCCTGCCTTCCCTGATAGAATACTGATGTTCCGTAATACGACACGTCAACATTCTTGTTGTCGTGCCAATATAATGAGTGCGACCACCCGACATGTTTTCTAATGGGATAGAATAAATCCCCGATCTTTCTAGAATGGAAGTAGGATCTCTGTCATTGGACAGCAACCTCCTAAGATTTGGCTGTGGGGAAATTGGCAAAAATAGGGCATGTTGCCTAAAAATACGGCAAATACGTAGAGTGACATGACCACAAAATGGTATTGCGGGAAGGGCTATTGTGGATTCTTTTGGGAGATGCAGTGTAGTAGGAGGAAAAAGCGATCTTTTTACTTTGTTTAAGATGTAGATAAATTTAGCACTATTGTAGTCTGCCTCATTTACTGCACAGTGAATGTTATTAAGTTCGGTATCGATAGCAGCTTGACTGGAAGATAAAAGTCAAGCTGCTATCGATACCGAGTGCTGTCTTTGAAGGATACTTACAATTACATATCATGACTGTATCACAAATGAGGAAGTCCTTAGAAGTAGCCTACATGAACTACAGGACATTGTTACATAGTATAGAATGCATTTTGCAGGGCATGTATTTCATCTGCCAGAGTAACACTTACCAAAAGTAGCCTTGAAATGGAAACCGCAGGATGGAAAAAGGAAACAAGATAAACCATGAACAACCTGGCTCTCTACATATAAAGTAGATATAAAAAAGATTAGCATTCCTTGGAATGATGCTAAAACCATTTCAGCTGATCATATTTGCTAGAGACAGCTGGTTGCTCAGTCTGCCACTTGGCACAGGAAGACCTAATAAACATATTCTTTTTTTCTTCAAATTAAATAATTTCTGTTTTATAGTTTTACTTTATATATAACTTTTTATTATTTTGATAATATTATGGTATAAATGAAAATATTATTTCATCTATACCATGTTTTTTCAATTCAAAACTTACAAAAACAATCTCAACTTGAAACATTCACTATGTCTACAGTTTTCGTAATTGTAATGTAGCATCGAATCTAATGAGCATCTGATTTTTGAGATGCCAAAACCTGAAAAAAGTTAGCTTGTAAATTTAAAGCTCACTCTATATCACANAGACAGTGCAATAGCAGAAATACTATATATATTTGGGAGGCCCTCCTTACCAACAAACTAAATCCCTGCAACACCCCCACACTAGATTTGCCCCCTTTGTGGATCAGTTTGTATAATTCTCTAAACCAACATATCTAGCTCCGCATTTTGGAGGCACACAGCACATGCGCATTACAACCGCGCGTGTTTTTATTTGAAAATTATATTTTTTGTTCTACTGTTGCTTCCATTCCAAAACGTTAATATGCTTGAAAAAAAAAAAAGGAATTTAACCATTTTAATGGCCTGAAGAAGACGAAAATAATTAGCATCAAAAGCACTTGTCGGTCTGATGACAGTCATTGGTAATTAACGCCTGTATGATAAAAAGTTTATTCTAAGGATGACATGGAGTTCTGCTACCTTGGTAGACTGTTATCATCGAATGGAGGCATTGAAGCTAATATAAAATGCAGACTTGGTAAAGCATCAGTGGTTATTCAGAGGCCATGCAAGCAATCAGTACAATGATTAAGATATGTTGCTACAACACCATTAACATTTCCACTGCAATCTGTTCATTTGAAATATGGAAAGACACAAATAAGATTACTCAGAAACTCAACATGTTCCATCAGTGCTGTCTTTGAAGGATACTTACAATTACATATCATGACTGTATCACAAATGAGGAAGTCCTTAGAAGTAGCCTACATGAACTACAGGACATTGTTACATAGTATAGAATGCATTTTGCAGGGCATGTATTTCATCTGCCAGAGTAACACTTACCAAAAGTAGCCTTGAAATGGAAACCGCAGGATGGAAAAAGGAAACAAGATAAACCATGAACAACCTGGCTCTCTACATATAAAGTAGATATAAAAAAGATTAGCATTCCTTGGAATGATGCTAAAACCATTTCAGCTGATCATATTTGCTAGAGACAGCTGGTTGCTCAGTCTGCCACTTGGCACAGGAAGACCTAATAAACATATTCTTTTTTTCTTCAAATTAAATAATTTCTGTTTTATAGTTTTACTTTATATATAACTTTTTATTATTTTGATAATATTATGGTATAAATGAAAATATTATTTCATCTATACCATGTTTTTTCAATTCAAAACTTACAAAAACAATCTCAACTTGAAACATTCACTATGTCTACAGTTTTCGTAATTGTAATGTAGCATCGAATCTAATGAGCATCTGATTTTTGAGATGCCAAAACCTGAAAAAAGTTAGCTTGTAAATTTAAAGCTCACTCTATATCACAAAACAAAGATGCAAAAAGCATTAATGTATTTAAACAGTAATAAATGTATTTTTGAAAGGTTTTTTTCATGTAAATAAGAAATTACACCTCAATGCAAAATTTCCAGCAAAGAAATTCAGTATTCTAATGTTTTCGGCCACTATTTCTTTGGCCCTTGTCAGAAACTATAGAATGGAAAAACTATTATATAAGTAGAATGCCTTTGAGTTCTATTGTTAAAACTTTCAAATACATTGGAATAAAGGCTGTGATGTATGTTATATGATGTATTGTGGCTACACGCCTGTTTTTCTTTTATTAATATTGTTATTATTATTCTTAGTCCGTATAGTTTAGTTTAATTTAAATTCTAGAACTTTCCTTCCTTCCAATTTCTTTGTTCCTTTGTCTCAGAGTTCCAAGAACTCGCCTCACCCCTAACCCATCAGGGGGTAGCCTTAGAACAAAAGACGAAAACGGGGCTGGGAAGAGAGGAAAACAAAGGGTTTTTAGGCACTCTTAGGCCGGACTCGGAGAGCAAGAGACGTGTGGCAGAAGGCTCTGGAACAAAAAGTTGGGGGAGCGCTGCAGAAGGAGGCCGTAAGAAGCGGATTGAGAGAAGAATCTGGTCGACGATTATAAGACAACTCTGAAACGGACCGAAACGGTTCTAAAAGGAAGAACAGCCGAGAACGAAGCCGAGACGAGGAACTGTGGAGAACCAACAGGAAAATTGGGAACCCTCTGTCCTTTAATTCTTATTATTTCCCCTTTCTATCTTTTCTATCTCTTAGTTTAATTTAGTTTTAAGTTAGTTTAAGTTTACGCGCGCAACTAATTTTGTCGGGAGGTAGTTATCGGAAAAGTAACTACCGGTATATTGATATATCCGATCGCTCGGGATTTTGGAACATTTGTAGGTAACAGCGGGAATCCGAACTTATTCTGTATATATATTATTGTTTGCGCGAAATTAAACTCGTTTAATTGGTAAAACGTGTCTGTGTTTTCCTGTCCGCGCTATACAATATCACAGTATATTATGAGTCTAGATAGTACAGTAGGTGTTTATTGTTTTTTTCATGTTTACATTGCTTCACAATGTCCACATTTTCAAATGTATTCATTTATTACTCCATTATCAGGTACAGAGCTTTAGCAGACCCAGAGCTAGTTCTAATAAGTGGGCAGTGCATGCATGCATGCATGTTGGCAGCCAAATTCCTAGGGCAGCTGATAGTGCACTTAAAAAATAAAATTCAAATATAATTTTATATTTTAATATAGTGGTTGGTGATGAAATAGACTGATATTTGTGTGACAGCTGGTAATATAGCTGAACAATTTATGGATATAAATAATGTCAAAGCATACATCTTAGGAGTTTTTCATCAGAAAATTTAAAAGTGCCAGCAGCAGGTGATGGGAATTCATCCATTGAACTAGAGAAAAACTCATTAGTGGGAATTCTATAACCACTATGATTGTTTTATATTTTAAATCACATGAAAAGCATAAAAACTTTGAGTTCGTAAAGTTTTAATTTTTGCAAACACTAAGCTATTTATTTACGTTAATATTTTATATATATATATGTTAATATTAATGCTATTATTTATGTTAATGTCTTATGGTTAAGTTCAGGGTTACACTTATATAACTCATTGTGAATGGTTGTATTAAACAACATAGGTACAATGTTTTATATTTATGCTTAATTTTCATTATGAACTGGCCTTTATTCCCATACTGTTAATTGTAAAGCGATATTTACACTATTGTTTTAATTGTTGACGGAACCAAAAGGCAATTTAAATAAAAAAAGAGATGTGCATGTACATTATTAATTTAAATATTCATATTTAAATGAATTTTTATGTACACATATGTATATATTGTATTTATATACTGAATAAGAAAAATGTTTAAAAATTAATTTCATTTTAATTTGCAAATTTTATTGTATGGCAGTGCTAAAATATAACTTTGAACAAAGGCACCTATTATGTACAGGGCAGCTTGATTTGAATAAAATTAAAATAAATATTAATATATATCAAATAATTTTATAGATTATCAACTATATGAAACTGTCATAAAATATATCAGTAAGCTCTCATGGGTTTGCTTAAGCTTTAATTTACTTGTGATAAGCATTGATAGGGGTAACCAAATAGCAAGCAGCTAACAGTCCAAAAAAGGCCATGAGCCAACCAATATAAAATTACAATCAAAATTACTGTTCAATCAACATGTTACCAGTGAGATTTCATGTTGGTATGCACAAGCATGAAATTTATAAGATGTGTAGAATCACACTGAAATATCTATATACATGTTCTTCTGCATAGTGGATAACTCTCTGTTTAAGTATAGTAATATAGAAAGTTTGCTATTTTTGAAATTTATTGCCTTATTTTTCTTACACTATATATCGCTAGCCATAAAAATAAGGCCATAAGTTTCAAAGAAAGCAACATCCAGATCTATAGCATGGAGATCTCTTTTTGAAATACAGAAATAAATACTACAAGTAACATCAACATCAAATAATGTCACATCAACAACCAATCAAATGACTACTCTTTCTTTAAACTACAACATTTGATTTACCTGTGTTCTTTTTTTCAAACATATTTTACCTGATGATGATAGCTAAAGTTATCGAAAATGTTTGTTTATCATAAAATATTTTTATTAGAGATTTTGGTCATTTTGATTTTTTGTTTCTTTAATATTATTATCCAGTTTCTTCATTGTTTATATTTCTTATATGTGCAGTGTTTATAAAAGAAAGTCTGTTACACAACAATGTATCTATTCATTATGTAGTGATGATTACTAAATTTTTGTACAGTACAGTTTGCAAAACTAAACTTATCTCCTTGTTTTTCTGATATATATTCTGTAGATTATTTCTTATTATGTAAATTAAATCAACACTGATGGGATAGCAATTTGAGGATATGAAATATTAAATGCAATGTGAAAAAGAAATTAGTGTAGATAATTTAAATTGAGTTTTAAAAAAATATTCTAATAATTCTATGAACAAGTGTAAAAGTGTGCAGTTTTCTTTGAAAATTATTTAAACACTTAAGAAATTTTTTATAGAATAATGCTGGTTGGTAATTAAATTTTAAATTATTAATAATTATGTCTTCAAAAAATTAACTTTTAGTCTGTTGAAGTAGGAATTACCATTTATTTTATTTCACTGTTCTGGAATACACTTTGACAACAAATCTTTTTTTGTTGGCAGTCAAAATTAAAAAGTTTTAAAAACAATAAAAAAATAATCCAATTAAAAAACACAAGTTTAAAATTAGAACTGGGGATGCTTCAGATATCTTGCATTTTCCATCTTTACTACTTGGGGACTATTGAACTAATATCCACTAAAAGCTTGCACTAGTGGATATAAGTTTGGCCTTTGAGAATATAAGCCTATAAGAAAAAATTGGTCGTCAAAGTGTATTGCTGGAACATTGAAATAGAATAAATGGTGATTCTTATTTCAACGGACTGTCTTCAAACAATTAATTTTTAATTATTAATATTTTAAAAAGTATTAAGAAATTTTTTATTTTAACACATGATTTTCTTTTAATTTATTTTATTTTAGCATTTAAAAAAATTGCATTAATAATAAATTATTACTAAATCATAATTTTTAACATATAAATAACAATTATTATTTATTATTACACTTTATTATTTTAGAAATGGTGGTTATGAATCATCACCCTTAATAGGAAAATATTGTGGAACTACAGCTCCATCATATTTTGTATCACATAGTAATCGGTTATGGGTCCATTTCCATTCTGATTCATCAGTAGCAGGAACTGGTTTTAATTTTATTTATACAGGCACTATTAAAGGTAAGAATATTCTGTTCTAATTATAAAATATAAAAACTATTTATTAGTAGAATATGTATTATGTTGACAAAATTAATTAGAATTTCACAAAGTGAATAATGATAATAATATACAGTGGAACCTCGGTATACGTCTGCTTTAGAATACGTCCAATTTGGAATACGTCCTGTTTGGACGAAACAAATTTTGCTCGATATACGACTTTTGTTTGGTATACGACTTAATTATATGTGCCATCTATCAACAACTAGCACTATCGGTGTACTACACTAGACTAGACATTCGCGGTGCTATGGTTTATAACTTTGTTAAATTTCTTCTGATTTTAATTTGTAAGTAACATTTTATTATTTTTATTAATCATGAATTGCAAAAGGGCAACAGAAAAATAAAAAAATGACTAGAATCGCAATGGAACTGAAAAAAGAGATTGTTGAGAAATATGAAGGTGGTATGCGTGTTCGAGATTTAACTGTTGCATACCGTATTCCGAGAACGACGATATCGACAATCGTGAAAAATAAAAACATTATTAANGATTTTGGTCATTTTGATTTTTTGTTTCTTTAATATTATTATCCAGTTTCTTCATTGTTTATATATTTCTTATATGTGCTGTATTTATAAAAGAAAATCTGTTACACAACAATGTATCTATTCATTATGTAGTGATGATTACTAAATTTTTGTACAGTACAGTTTGCAAAACTAAACTTATCTCCTTGTTTTTCTGATATATATTCTGTAGATTATTTCTTATTATGTAAATTAAATCAACACTGATGGGATAGCAATTTGAGGATATGAAATATTAAATACAATGTGAAAAAGAAATTAGTGTAGATAATTTAAATTGAGTTTTAAAAAAATATTCTAATAATTCTATGAACAAGTGTAAAAGTGTGCAGTTTTCTTTGAAAATTATTTAAACACTTAAGAAATTTTTTATAGAATAATGCTGGTTGGTAATTAAATTTTAAATTATTAATAATTATGTCTTCAAAAAATTAACTTTTAGTCTGTTGAAGTAGGAATTACCATTTATTTTATTTCACTGTTCTGGAATACACTTTGACAACAAATCTTTTTTTGTTGGCAGTCAAAATTAAAAAGTTTTAAAAACAATAAAAAAATAATCCAATTAAAAAACACAAGTTTAAAATTAGAACTGGGGATGCTTCAGATATCTTGCATTTTCCATCTTTACTACTTGGGGACTATTGAACTAATATCCACTAAAAGCTTGCACTAGTGGATATAAGTTTGGCCTTTGAGAATGTAAGCCTATAAGAAAAAATTGGTCGTCAAAGTGTATTGCTGGAACATTGAAATAGAATAAATGGTGATTCTTATTTCAACGGACTGTCTTCAAACAATTAATTTTTAATTATTAATATTTTAAAAAGTATTAAGAAATTTTTTATTTTAACACATGATTTTCTTTTAATTTATTTTATTTTAGCATTTAAAAAAATTGCATTAATAATAAATTATTACTAAATCATAATTTTTAACATATAAATAACAATTATTATTTATTATTACACTTTATTATTTTAGAAATGGTGGTTATGAATCATCACCCTTAATAGGAAAATATTGTGGAACTACAGCTCCATCATATTTTGTATCACATAGTAATCGGTTATGGGTCCATTTCCATTCTGATTCATCAGTAGAAGGAACTGGTTTTAATTTTATTTATACAGGCACTATTAAAGGTAAGAATATTCTGTTCTAATTATAAAATATAAAAACTTTTTATTAGTAGAATATGTATTATGTTGACAAAATTAATTAGAATTTCACAAAGTGAATAATGATAATATAATATAATTGATATTCTCAACCTTTATTTTGTCACGGTACACTTTTAATAATTTAAAAATTTGGCAGCACAGACGGTTACTTCGGTAAGTACTGCAGGACAACCGGTAACATCATAACAGTGATTTTTAAACACAGTTGGTTATTTAGGTCATGTTTTCTACTAAATATCTTGGTACTACTGGCAGTTACCAGTAACACCAGTTACAATTTCCAAATGTGCCCTAGGAAGGTAGAACTAATTGAACTACTTGTCTGATGTCACATATATATGCATATTTGCAATGGTGGCACACTTCAAAAATCTTGCAGCACATTAAAGTGCCGTGGCACAGTGGTTGAGAATCACTGTTCTAAGGTATACTTGTTTATGTAAATTTAAATGTATACTTGTTAATCTAAACCATATAATAAATTTATTCCTTAAATTGCATTTTTGATGCAAGATTCTAATATTTTATTAATGGGATGATAATGGGCTCTTTGTTTCTTCTAGAATTTTAAATATGACAAAATATAATTTAAAAATAAAGTAATATGATCCTTAATGTGTAGCTTCATTGTAAAACATTGTTTATAAGATAAGGCAATTAGTTAGCTTTCAGAAGAAAGTTTTTATATTAGAATAAATTTATTATTTTTAATATGTTTTAGGTTTAAATATATTTTTAAAATAACTTTTCTGGTAAAAATCATCTCTCTCTCTCTCTCTCTCAAAAAAAAATAAAAAAATAAAACAGAGATTAATATTGTCTTAACTAGCTTACCCGTCGCGCATTGCTGCAATCTCAAAAGAAACGAAATTCAAGCAAACTCGTTATGATAAAATTAAATTTTCATTTTATCATTTTTATTGAAACTTATTATTATTATTCGTTTTCATCGGGAAAACATTTCAAAGTGTTGTTTCAATTCTATTTATTTATTGGAGTGCTCGTGGATACACGATATTTTTTGTTTCTCC